AAATAAAAAAGAAATTTTATAATAAAAATCCAAACCCAAATGATCCAAGAGAAAGATTGATTCTAAAAAAAAAAAAATTAATTAAAAAGCTCCTTCCCACCGAAATCAAAAGTACCTTAGAATCTAGAGAAAAAAAGAAACCCGAAGAATAACTACAAGAAAGAAATAGAAAAAAAATAAAAATTAAAAATAAAGAAATGAAAAAATCCACTTACCCACCATCGACGATAACTTACCTTCAGAATTTTCTATAAGAACCCATGAAAAAATAACGATTCTCTAAGAGAATTCATTATTTTGGCGGACTCACTATGGGAACCCGTTAAAAATAATGGATTCTCTAAGAGAATTCGTTATTTTGGCAGACCCACTATAGGAACCCACTAAAAATAACGATTCTCTAAGAGAATTTGTTATTTTGGCGAAACCATTATGGAAGACTGCTAAAGATAATGATTCTCTAAGAGAATTAGTTATTTTAGCGGGCCCACTATGGGAAACTGTTAAAAAATAATGATTCTTTAAGAGAATTCATTATTTTGGCGGACCTACTATGGGAGACTGCTAAAGATAACGATTCCCTAAGATAATTCATTATTTTAGCGGGCCCACTATGGGAAACTGTTAAAAAATAACAATTCTTTAAAAGAATTTGTTATTTGGCAGACCCACTATAGGAGACCGCTAAAGATAATGATTCTCTAAGAGAATTCATTATTTTAGCGAGCCCACTATAGGAAACCATTAAAAAATAACGATTCTCTAAGAGAATTCGTTATTTTGGCAGAACAACTATGGGAGCCTGCTAAAAATAACGATTCTCTAAGAGAAATCGTTATTTTGGCAGAACAACTATGGGATCCTGCTAAAAATAACGATTCTCTAAGAGAATTCATTATTTTGGTGGACCTACTATGGGAATCCGTCAAAAATAACGATTCTCTAAAAGAATTTGTTATTTTGACGAACTCTCTATGGGAACCCACTAAATATGACGATTCTCTAAGAGAAAATCATTATTTTAGCGAATTCTCTATGGGAACTCGCCAAATTTGATGATTCTCTAAGAGAAATCGTTATTTTGGCGGACCCGCTATGGGAACCGGTTAAAAATAATGATTCTCTAAGAGAGAATTCGTTATTTTAGCGGACCCACTATGGGAATCCGTCAAAAATAACGATTCTCTAAGAGAATTCATTATATTGGCGAACTCTCTATGGAAACCTGCCAAATATGACGATTCTCTAAGAGAAAATCATTATTTTGGCAAATTTTCTATGGGAACTCGCCAAATTTGACGATTCTCTAAGAGAAATCGTTATTTTGGCAGACCCGCTATGGGAACTGGTTAAAAATAATGATTCTCTAAGAGAGAATTCGTTATTTTAGCGGACCCACTATGGGAATCCATCAAAAATAACGATTCTCTAAGAGAATTCGTTATATTGGCGAATTCTCTATGGAAACCTGCCAAATATGACGATTCTCTAAGAGAAAATCATTATTTTGGTGAATTCTCTATGAGAATTCACCAAATTTGACGATTCTCTAAGAGAAATCATTATTTTGGCAGACCCGCTATGGGAACTGGTTAAAAATAACTAAGAGAAAATCATTATTTTGGCAAATACATTATGGGAACCCGCCAAATTTGACAATTCTTTAAGAGAAATCATTATTTTAGCAGACTCACTATGGGAACCCATCAAAAATAACGATTCTCTAAGAGAAATTGAGAATCATCAATTTTTAATTTTTTTATAAATTAAGATTTATTTT